GAAAAATGAGCTATGGACATGAGTAGAGAGTTCACAAAAAATGATACAAAGACCAATAACCATATGAAAAATGTTCTACGCCAGCACTAATTAAGGAAGAGCAAGTTAAACATCAAGGAGATCTTCTTATTTCCCCTTTCAAATGGGCAAAGGTGATAAAACGCTAACACCCAATGTTGGTAATGGTGTGGGGAAGAGGACGCTGTTTACTATGCTGCTGACAGGAATGAAAAGTCACACTTCCCAAGGCAATTTGGTAATATGTGAAAAATGTATATCTTGTTTCTAGGAATTTATCTTACAGATATAAAGATGTGTGTAAGAAGTTAGCTACTAGGATATTTATCACAGCACTCTCCAAAATGTCCAAAAAGAGGATGGATTATGTACATTGTGGTGTAGGGATAACAATGGAAAAGGGCATCAAATATGATGGAGGAGAAGTGCACTTACTGATGTAAAAGACCTTCACGGTGCATTTCAAATGAAAACACAAAGCTTGTACAACAGCATGCTAAGCATGTCAAACCGTGAGTGTATATATAATGTGTCTTTGTTTGAGAAGGTTTTATCACATCTCTGAGTGAGTGTGGTTATAATTGGTCTTGTTCCCCTTTTTACATAACTAATTAAAAACCTTTTATTTTATCATGAGAATAATTTAAAGCATTGTAGCTAGGAGCATGGGCTCTGGGCTTAGAGGGACCGGTGTGTATTTACCAGGTGTCCTTGGACGCTGGTTAGCTAACAAAATCTCAGGTTTCTACCTACAAAATGTTCATCATGACAACATCTATCTGACAGATGGTTGTGTTAAAATGCTTAGAAAGTGCATAGCATATATTTGTCACAGCTATTTGTTAATTATTTTATTTTTTACTGTTATTTTATCAGTTATAAAAAAATACTCTTCTAAAACAATGGATTGACTCTATCATGTGATAAAAATTGGATAAAAGCATCAGCTTCTCTTCTTGGAGGGCCAAAACCAATAGCTTTTATTTCTTATTTCTCACATGTTCCCGATGTTATCTCTGCATTGCACAATGCACGTTGCCGCCAGGCAGGGCAAGGCTGACACCACTCCTTGCTGGGATTATTAAACGACCTCGGCATTATTTCTGAGTGCAGGACCCCAAGGTTCCCACGTGCTCTACAGTTTCAGTTGGTCAGCTGTGAAAATACTTGGTTTGGGAGGAGAAAACAGGCCGAGTACAGTGCTACCTGAAAAACCCTAAGTGGTCTGTTTCCCTGAATGATGGATAAGCAAGATGGAGCATATTAAAGCAATAGTGAGGGCCTCTAAAAGTTTGGTTTGGTGCAAAGAGTTTGTGGTTCCTTCTGAAATATGCTCAGAAAGGGGCAGGGGGTCCAGTCTGTGGTTTATTTATCACCAAAGATGTCTTTGTTTACACCTGTGGTCATGCTATACACGTTTCAAGAAGCAAAATTTCCAAAGCAGTGCCTCTTAGGCTTTTGTTCAGTTACACATAGGGTTACCTGGGGTTTAAGAGGAGGAGGGAGGATTAATTATGCCTTAGATGAGTGTCTAGTTATTGTTGTTGGACTCTTGATTCCCCACACGCCTTTTCTTCTCTTGCTCAATTACTTCTTCCTCCTTATCTGTGAAACACATCAACTGTTATAATTTCTTCATTCAGGAATGGGTAGATTTAACAGTTGTAAGAAGTTCTTTACCCATACTTATTTCATATTTTTGATATATTTAAACACATTGGCCCATCTGAAGACTGCAGGGAGTAGGTTGGTAATGAGTTACAGCACCTCTTTGCCTCGTTAAGGAATATCAACAGGCTTTTCATCTAGTCCTTCAAGCTGTAAGTTAAGATAGTGAATAAATCCCTGGAACCGGACGGTGGAATTGTTTTCTGCCAGGCATTCATTTGAGTCACAAAAGAAGAGCTGGATCCAATAAGATATATGCAGGCTGACAAGTGGCTTATTTAACTTAATATGGAAAAATATAAAATACTGGGAACTAGGTCAAAAATGGCAAAAAGGATTAGGGCTTAAATAGAGACAGGCTTCCAGACAATGAAGGGAAGAGAATCTGGCAGTAATAGCGTCTACAAAGCCCGACCCATCAGCTTCATGTCTGGCAGTAATTAAGAGGCCAACGGAATACTGCGATGAATCAACTTGAGGAAGAATGGAAAAGAGAAAGGGTTGATGGGCTCTGTGGAGCTGGATGGCCTCACCGAGGAAGGGGAAGGCTCGCAGGAGGCAGTCCCGGCATTAGAAGGAGATAGCAGGGAGCCTCCTCCCCGGCCTCTTTGTGGGTGGCCGGGTGATTGACACACGGGAGAGGAGTGGAGACAGAGGAGTAGATGGAATGCATGGTGAGAGTGGCAGGAGGTTTCCTATCACGGTGATCTGTTGGGAATTCAGGTGCCACCACCCTGACTTCTTGAGGTTCTCCGGTTTGCCCCCTGTGGGTTTGTGGGCCACCTGTCCCTGCTAATTTCCATCCCTTTCCTTGAAACCAGACTCCAATGGGAGTCAGCTATTTGGAGTCCTTGTTAGGTAGAACCCCTCCATCTTTCTTAACATCCTGCTACTGAGTCTTTTTGCCCCCAGCCTTGTGTCTCCCAGGGAGGCCAAGCACTCTCAGACATGTCAGCCTTTTGGACCGGGTTTCCCAAGGCTTGCCAGTTGATTCCCTTATTCAACCAGGACACAGACCAGCTGGGTTTAGAGTGCAGCTGGATGCCTGTCAAGGCTCATCTGAGCTTCAGCTGCAGTGTATTTTTTTTTTCTTCATTTTCTACATTAGGGATGCCAGTTCATGCTGGGAAGCCTAGCAGGGATCCCTTCTCTTCCATTTGCTCTGCAGAACACCATGTGCAAGGCGGTGTCTAGTCAACACGCTGCAGAAACAGGGGAATGAACTGTGCAGAAAGAGCCGTCAGTGCAAATGCACATGCTGAGCTCTGGAATCTGAATTCAGATGTGGCTCTTCTTTGTCATTTGAAACACACACACTCTCCCAGGAGGACTGGAAACGCAGAGTCCACTTGGTGCCTTTGTTGAGTCAATGCTCAGCAGGGGTGGGTGGAGACACTGAGGCATGATAGGAAGCATCAGACAACCTAGCTTAGCAAGGCCCACACTGAGGGAGGGAAATTAACACTCATATCCTCTTCTGATCGCTCCTTCCAACCTGGCTCCTCCTCCAGAGTCTTGAATCTTTGAGGATTCCTTAGACCTCCCCTCCCACTCCCCACATGTTTAGAAATCTGCCTGTTCTTCTTTCTTTTATTCCAATTGCCTGTAGGCCAATTCAGAACTCATGAACTCTGAACAAATCCTATATAATAAAGAGGTAATATGCAAATTGACCATCGCACCCTCGCACAAGATGGCCGCCACAAGATGGCCAGCAGGGGTGGGCAGTTGTGGGTAATCAGGCCAGCAGGGGAGGG